AACTACACTGTTCTCATCACTAAATTGAACAGCCCAATATACTTCTTATAATCTCTGCAAGAGCCACATCAAGGCAGCTGGTGGCTTTTGTTCCTTTCTCACTTTATATAGGAGGAAACTAAACGCTGAAAAGATCATTAATCCAAAATCACACTGCTAAAAATGAGTGGGTCTGAACATTTCTGGTTACAAAGCTCAACCTACTAACCATTACTGGCTTCTCCATTCTACTTGTGGTTTCTGAAAAGGGCCCTGCTCCAGACTGAGAAAGAAGCTATAGGGTGTTAAGGACACTGAGTGAAGAAGAAGGCAGGGTTAGGGGACCACAACTCCCAAAGAAAACCAGTCATAACCTATCTGCAAACAGGTCTTTATACGTGTTGATCCCTAACAAGAGGGATAATAGCAGCTATAGAGGGAGAAGCCCACTCCTCACTCCCACGATTCACCCAATCCCCCGATTTCTTACAATTGGAAAAAACGGAGACCTCTAGAGTCGCCCACCGCCACCTCCTCTGCCTCTCCCCGCCCTCCCCGCCACAGCGCCCGGGTGTCTCCTCTACCCACCCCCACGGCGCGGCTGATGGTGTTCATCTTGCCGGCGACCTGTTGGAAGAGCGGGAAGCAGGTCTGACAGAGGCGTACGGGCCGAGCGCTGCGCACAAGACACCCGGTCAGCTCTGCGCTGCTGTTGGCGAAGTCCAGCAGCATCTCCCGGCACTCGGGATCCAGATCGGGCAGGTCCGGAGGGAGCGACAGCGGTCCCAGGGCTCCACCCCGCAGCAGAGACAGGGTCAGGTCCTCCACCTCCAGCAACTGCTGCTCCGACCAGAGGTCCGGAGAGACCCCGCGCGGGCTGCCCGGGAAGGGGAGCGCGCCCAGGGCCAGCCTGGACCACAACAGCGTCACTAGCGGCAGCCACCGCAGCGACGACGACTTCCGCGGCGCCACTGTAGGGCCTGGCTCCATCACCGGGTTCACAAGCCCCAGGTCTCGGAGCTCGGTTCCTCACCCCTAGCCGGCACCACCACAGCCACCGCTTCCGGCTTCCGCGGGCGCAGGCTCGGAGTGGATCACGAGGCGCGCGCGTCACGGCCCCGCCCTCGGCCCCGCCCACAGCGCGCGGCGCTCCACCCCATTGGCAGTCGCCGACCCGGGCCTTGGGCGGGGCTGGAGGGGGCGGGAGTACTTGCTGCGCGCTGCCGCGTGGGAAACACAGGCCTCTGCAGCTTTAGACCAGTCTATTGGGTCTTGGTCCTGGAACGCTGCTGCTCTGAGAGTTTCCGCCCTTCTAGAAGTCTGCAAGGTTCCTTTTGTCACCGGACCGACAGGGCCTCCGCGTGGAGATTACTGTCCAGTGAGTTCCAGGAAAAAACCACTGGCACTTGGGCTTAGGGAAGATTTTGAAGGGAAGTGGGATGGGGTTATTGGGAGTTGCACCCAGGGCCTTCTCTCTGAGCAATGTCCTGACCTCCTCATTCCCTTTCTTTTTTTTTTCCCAGAGTCTTGTTAAATTGCCAGATTGCTTTAGCTGAGTTCAGACTTGCAATCCACGCCCCGGTATTTGGCATAATTTTTACTTTTGCCTTGTAAATTGAAGAGCTACTGCATTAATTCCTACTTAAGAGGAATTCCTACTTAAGAGGAATTAATGAGCTTCCGGTCCTAATTTATTTTTCTTAAGGTTCTTATAGTTACTTTTTACCCCATCAGTTTAGTTACTGTTGTGTTAATAAGTTTGCTTGTGATAGCTAAATTGTTTCGTTTTTGTTATCAATAAACCTAACAGAAACTTTGATTTGTGTAATATTGTATTTTTTATTACATTATAAGAGAAAATAGGTTGTCTTTTTCTTTTCTTTTTGTACAAGATCTCACTACACAGCTGGGACCTTCCTGTTTTCACCCTCCCCTGCGCTTCCAAAGCAGGGGCTTAGTCTGCTGAGCTATCTGACCAGCCCAAGGTTATCTTAATCTTGTCAGATGTCATTATGTGACTTTTAAGTCCATGTATTAGAATTACCGTCATGTTTTTGGTAGGTAGGTACATTGTTAAACTTATGTAGAAAGCAACATAGTATAACCAACATTACAAATGCACAAATAACTTCTAACCTAGCAAGCTCACTTCTGGAAACTTATTGTAAATATACAGTGTCCTTGGATAGATGTGATTATTCATTGCAGTTTTGTTTGTAATAGTAAAGTGGGGGCTCAAAAGGCATATTAAATAATTGGGAGCCCCATTCTCCTTCCCTTCTTTTCCCTTCCTTTCTTGGAACCATTCATTCATAAAGGTCAAGTAAAGCAAGGCAGATTCATCTGCAGTTAGTAGGATGGGGTGTCAGAGGCCTTTCTCGGGTAGGATGACAACATTCATGTGGAAGGAAGTAACTTCAGCCTGATTCAGATATTGGTTACTGAGTAGGATTAGAAGGGTTTCACCTTAGAAAGGTGTCCTGGTGAGAGGACAGCAATGGGAATTTATTACATTCAGAGGGATTGATCAAATAAATGTATTAAAGATAGTGAGCATCCAGTTTCTCACTGTCAGAAAATGGAGTTACAGACATGAAAAGAGAAATGAACTGTTGGATTTGAATGAGAAATAATGGCAAACTCGAGATAAATAAATGTAGATGTAAATATGTGCTTTTTAACTGTGATGGGATGGGCTTCTTGGAAAAAAGATGCCAAAGATGACCTACATTACAGAAGGAGAAAATGCAGTGGTTGGTCACAAGCCCATAAAAGACTACCTCACCCTCTTGTTTTGTGCTAATGCAAGCAGGGATTTCAAAGTCAAGGCCCTGCCCATGCATCATTGCAGGAATCTACCAACTTTCAAGAATCCAAGGTGCAGAACAGCCAGCTAATGGTTATGTGGAGGTCTAACAGAAAGGCTTGCGTTGTTCATATCTTGTTCATTGAGTGGATCACTGGGGTCTTTGGTCCTGCAATGCGCAAAACCTTTTAGAAAAGAGCCTGCCACTGAAAGCATAGACAGTTCTCCTGCTCATCCTCTAGGCTTTGAAGACAGTTTACTAGAGGAGTTCAGGTTCAGTGAGGTCAAGTTCCTCCTTCACCATACCACCCCAGTCCTCCAATCTATAGATTACAGGTCATGTAAATATTACAAAACTTCACACCAAATCACTATTGAGTGATGCTTTGGGGGAGAGCAAAGGAACAAACCTTACCCTCTGAACATTTTGGAAAATTCATTTCCACATCATGAACTGCCTCAAGATCATCAGTAAAGCCTGGGATGTGGTTCCAAGAGAAGCCCCAGGGGCAGGGGAGATGGCTCAGTAGAATAAGTGCTTCCCTGGCAAGCGCAAGGGCCTGAGTTCAATCCCCAGTTCCGCCAAAAACAAAAAAAAACAACTGCCAAGAGAAGCCTCAGTTCTGCTTGGAGAAAACCATGGTCTAATTGCATTCTTGGACATGACATGTCGTGGCTTGCTCATGAATAGGAGCCACCAATTGTTCTTGAAATTGTGTTCTTGGGGAAGACTATAGGAAGTGAATGAGGGTGACATTCAAGAGCTGGTAGAAGAGTAATCCCAACACTGAACCAGGTGTATCAGTATGATTTCAAGACCAGCCTGGGCTATAGAGTATGTTCAAGGCAGCCTGAACTGCATAGCAAAACCCTATCTCAAAAAGACAAAAATAAAGCAAATTTATTTAGGGAGATTTGGAATACATGAGAAACTACAACATTTAGTAGAAAAGAACTACTTGAATAAGGCTGTAGCCATGTGAGCAGTGAATATGTTTAATGATAATCCAATGTTACATTTCCATGTATCTAGAATATCTAAACTGAAATAGGGGGCTAGGGAGATGGCTCAGTGGAATAAGTGCTTCCCTGGCAAGCGCAAGGGCCTGAGTTCAATCTCCAGTTCTGCCCCCTGCCAAAAAAAAAAATAAATAAATAATAAAATAAACTGAAAATACTTAGATGCCCCCAAAATAAAAACACCAAAAAAAGAGCAACTGAAAGACATTTCATAAAAGTATGACAAAAAAAATGTGTAATGTCTCTGGTCATTAGAGACATGCCAATTAAAACAACACTGAGATTCTATCTCACTTCAGAAAGAATTGCTATCAACAAGTCAAGTAATAATAAATGCTGGCAAGGCTCTAACGAAAAAGGAACATTTCTAGAATATTGTCAGTGGTAATGTAAACTAGTACAACCACCTTGGAACTCATCACTGAAGATTGCTCAAAACTAAAAATAGAAACTCCATTTGACCCGGCTATTTTCCTTCTAGGTATCTTCCTGAAAAACATTGTATTACTGTGATATATACATTACCTATGGTATACCAGGACAACTCAATAGCTCAGTCTTAGAAGTAGTTCTATATGTTCATCAACAGATGAATGGATAAAGAAAATGTATTTACACACAATGTAGTACTGGTCTGCCATAAAGCAAGATAAACAATCATTTGTAGGAAAAGGGTGCGCATTGAGACCATAATGTTAGGTGAAAATAAATCAGACACAAGCTTAGATATTGCATGGGTTCTCTTATATGAGAAACTCAACATATAAATAAAGTAAAATGAAAGACAGATAATGAAAAAATGAAGATTTTCTGTAAAAGGAAAGGGGACTAAAAGATGAGAGTGAGGGGAAAAAAGTGCAGGGCAGGGGCAAAGATGAAAAAAATTAAAATGTGATAACATGCGTCCACCAAAGCTGCACAGTGAGTGTAATCTTCATGTACTGCAAATATGTACTTAAAAGAAAAAAAATCCTGAAAAAAAGCAGAACAAACATTCAACCCCTTTCTCAAGTCTGGCATCAAGGGCACATGGTGGAATGTGTGCTCCTTAGAGCTTTCTGACTTATGTTGAAGGCAGCCCACATAACTGCTTCCTTGAGCTGGCTTTGCACATGGCCTGCATCTTTCCTCAAGAGGCTTTCCATGTTTCCAGCATCTCTATCTTGCTGGGATCTCCATTACAGCTTCAGTTTCACTCTTACTGGCCCAGATGGTACCCTGTCAGGAGCTACTCACAGAGACTGGAACCTTGCCTCTTATTCCCTGATCTCCAAGGTTTTCCTTGGAAATCTCAGGGAATAAGAGGCAAAACAAAACAAAACAAGAAAACCAGCATCCGGTAGACAGTACCAAAGTCTGATGCCAGCATGAGCTGCATCTGGGCCCACTTGAACCATGGCCACAGCAGCATATGAGTGTCTCGTGAGCCAAAGACCTCCATAGTCCTGGATGAGCAGGGTGCCCCAGGGCTTGGTTCTCAAAAGACTTTGCCCTGGAAAAATCTTTAAAAGAAATTTATAGTGTGAGAAGGTCTTGCTTGCAGTTCCTCAAATGCCCAGCTTTTGCTGTTGTTCCAGTGCAGGTTACCTGGGTTCTTTTTAATGTGCTAATTTCTTCAGCATCCACACCCTCTTTTGCCAAAGAAGACCTTTAAGCTTGCTTCATTTGCAGTCACACTGCAAGTTTTCCAAATTTTTCCACTGTGCTCCTCTGTGCCTTTGATCCTCACAGTGACTTTGGCTAGAAGCAGTGACATTCCCCAAATACTGTGCTGCCTTGAAGTTTCCCCTGCCAGATAAACTAGTCTGTCATCTTAGCTTGCCCTCTCCTAAAGTCTCAATGCATGCAAATTCTTTGCCAGGGCAAAAAAACAGGTGTCCTTTAGTCCAATTCCCAAGAGAATCCTCACTTCCTTCTGAAATCTGTCAACGCCATCTTCACTTTCTGCATGCCTGTGTGTATTCTGGTTTTTTGAGCTTTCACAAGAGTCACTTGTTAAGCTCCTCTTATTCTCTAGCCAACTCCTCCAAACTCCTCTTAGAAACCAATCTCACAGGCCTTTTCACATCTTCAGGTATAGTTAGAGCACTTAGTTACCAATGAGAAGTTGCCTCACTTCTTGGCACCAATTTTCGGTTAGCCAACTTTTCATTTCTATAACAAGTACCTGAGATGAGTCAGCTTTTATTGAGAAAATATTTATTTTGGATCATAGTTTTGGAGGTTTTGCTACATGGTC